TATCCTCGGGCGGCTCTTCCCGCAACACTCCCCCTTCTGCTCCAAGCCGCTAGCCCTCGGAGCGACCGCTCAGAGAGGTGCCGCAGAGCGTGAGGCCTGCCGCGCAGGCGCCTTCCTGCCCCCAAACGCGGAAGCGAGGGCGGCGGCCCGGAACCGCGGGGTGTGGGCGGAAGGCTCCTGGAGGTGCCGGCCGTGCTGGGGCGGGGGATCCCCTGTCCACCTCCAAGGACACCACCCACGACGTGCCAGGCGCTGTGCCAGGCGCTGTGCCAGGCGCTGGAACATCAAAGAATGAAGCTGACACTTATCTTCCGGTGCCAGGCACATTTGATACATTATCTCATTGAATTCCTGAAACAACCAATTTGACAGGACACAAGCTCAGAGAAGTCGACTTGGCCAGGTCACACAGGTCCTAGATCTTGGAGTCCCATATTTCCCCACCACTTCGTGCAGCTTGCAAACTCATGAACAATGTCAATACACAGTGGTGAGCCGGGACGACCGAAGCACTGGGCAGGAGAGGTCAGCTCCGCCGGGGGTGAGAGGACAGCGAGGTGGGAGTGACGACGGGATTATGTAAACCGAACCTCAAAGGGTGCGGAGAAGGGAGAGCAGTTGCCTTCCAGGCAACTGAGTTTTCCTCCTTCACTGACCTGTAAGCCTTTGGCGGTCAGGGACTGTATGCCCAAAGCCAGCCTTCTAGTAGGGTCCCTATAAATATTGGTAGAACAAATTTTTTAAATTATAAAATGTTTGAATACATAGAAAAAGTTAAAGAGTAAAATGCACACCCACCTACCCTCCATCTAAATTTAACAATCAGAATAAATAATGTGCGTAGCACTTTATAGCTTATAAAGCCTCTTGCTTAACGTGACCATATTGCGAATGAAGCTCTCATTGGTGAGCTGGTTGGGGACCCACTCAGACTCCATTACTGCACCACCTCCACAGGTCAAGACCACCCACTGCACCCCACTTTGGGAAGCTGGCTTCCTCTCCCTTCGTTTCCATCCTGCTCAGGAAGTTGTAGGTTGTCCCAGAACTTGGTTCACCCTCAGAAAGCACGGTTACAAGTATGTTTCTCAGTGGGACGTTCATTGCCTGGAAATTCACTTTGAACTTGAGTGGTTAGCCTCTCCAAGTCTCAGATTTCTCACTTAAAATTCAATATATTGGAGGGCGAGGGAAAGTTTGGGTCACAATGGGATCCATTATTTTCAACTCCAGATTAACACAGGAACTCTTCCATGATCTTCCCAAAAGTTCTTTCCATTCTCTCAATATCAGATATGTATTATATTTAAATACTATAAGCCTCCTTTATCGTGATGGTTGGGGGGCCAGGACTGATATCCCCTTAGACACTAAGCTAATTATAAAATACTTTTTAAAAACCATCTTTTTTCTTATTATAAAGGTAATACATATGGATTAAAGAATCCCAAAATGATGCAAAAACAAATATGGTAAAAAGTGAAACCCCTGACGACCAGAAATGGAGCAAAGGTTGGGGTGTCAGCTGTGCATTACTTAGGAATAAGAGCAGAAGTTGGATCCTTTGCAGCAGCTGTGTTGGATCTAGATTTATCATGTTGTCTGCAAATAAGGGCACATATATGATCACAGAGGTACAAGAAAAAAAGAGTTCAACATTTCATCTTAGGGGCCGGCCTGGTGGCATAGCAGTTAAGTGTGCACGCTCTGCTGCGGCGGCCTGGGGTTCGCTGGTTCGGATCCCGAGCGTGGACTGACACACCGCTTGTCAAGCCATGCTGTGGCAGCATCCCATATAAAGTGGAGGAAGACCGGCACGGATGTTAGCCCAGGGCCAGTCTTCCTCAGAAAAAAGAGGAGGATTGGCAACAGATGTTAGCTCAGGGCTACTCTTCCTCACACACAAAAAAACACACACACTTCATTTTAATTGAAAATGCATCCTGAGGGCTATAATCCTATTTCCACACTTCTTCATTTTAAAAAATCACTGGAACCTCAAAAACTGGAAGATTTGTCAGCCTCTCTTTACTTAGAAAGGCCTCAGCGTCATCAAAACACTGCCTTTCAAGAAGTCCCTGCGTCAGAATTGTCCCTGTTGCAAAACGTGTTCCTGCAATTGCAAAATATCCTGCGGTAGACTGGAAAGCCCCGTGCCCTACCCGATTCTGTCATAGGAGTGTTAGTTTTAGCTTAGAGGAGTTTCCTGGCCAGTCAAGACAGGGTCAGGGACCCCAGGGACACGAAGGACCCTGCACGTTGTTGCCCAATTTCATCATTTCTGTCTCAGCGGAGGGAGGCTGCCTGTGAGGCGGCTGTGTTTCCATGTTCTGGAATCTTGTACAGGTCCTGGTCTCAGAGACACCTCAGTCAATACTTGCCTGGCCCAACCTGAGAATTTCACACAACAGACATTTGCACCATAAATGTGCATTTGGGTTCATCCATTTTTTAGGGAAGATGTTGGGTTTGGTGGTTATTTTCTCAGCAGGACCCAGAGAACTGGATATTGCCAGCTGCTAAAACAAACCAAAAGCACTAAGTACTGTGTAAAATATAAAGCATGTGGATCAATTGGACAATAAAATAAATTCAACCAACCAGAACTTATTGAAGCCTTGATCTCAGGCTCATCACACACAGGGCTGCTTGTTCAGTCAGGCATCAGAATGTTGTAACTGACCTGTGAGAGTGGTCAGCATGGCCCATGTTGAGCCTCATTGGTCAGCTGAAAAAGCGACATCCATGGTTAGTGATAGTAAAATAATAAATTATTATCATGCAGGGAGACAATATTGCAAAGTGGTTAATAGAGTGAGTTTGAATCCTGGCTCTGGGCAAGTCACTAAGCCACTAATCCTGGCTGTAAATGGGGATGATGAATCCTGCCCTGCAGGGGCGCTGCAGAGATTTTAGGAGATAATGGATATAAAGGAAGTTGTGCCCGGCACAGAGTAAGCACGGTTAGAGGGTAACTGTATTACCAACAAAACACCTGTAAGCCAAAAAATTCACGAGAAAGAAAGTTTACACCAGGATATGCAAATAATGCCAACTGAGTGATAGAAATATCACCATTTTGCAACCACCACTGTAGCGACTGATTTAGAAAAGGATCAACGAATGCCAAAACCAGGGGGTGAAAGACTATAGGAGAGGCGCTGGCCCAGTGGCGTAGTGGTTAAGTTTGCGCACTCTGCTTCAGCGGCCCAGGGTTCGCAGGTTCAGATTCCAGGCTCAGACCTATGCACCGCTTATCAAGCCATGCTGTGGTGGCATCCCACATATAAAGTAGAGGAAGATGGGCACGGGTGTTAGCCCAGGGCCAATCTTCCTCAGGAAAAAGAGGAGGATTGGCAACAGATGTCGGGTCAGGGCTAATCTTCCTCAGCGAAAAAAAAAAAAACTATAGGAGAATGAGACATTTCCACACACTCAGGTTACGTATTAATTACCAAGAAAAAATGTCCTTTTACAATAGAGAGAGCTCAAGGATGCGTGACTGTACCCCCAGTCTAATAATGAGGAAACAATCATACAAATCTAAACTAAGAGACATTCTGCTTGGAATGGACAACAAAAACATCAATGTCTTGAAAGAATTAAAAAAGGTGGAGGAAGTGTGAAAACGTTCTAGATAGAAGGAGACTACAGAGATACGACAGCCTAAAGCAATGCCTGCTCTCTGACTGGACCCTGGATTGAACAAAAAAAGAAAGTTGTCAGGACATTATTAGGGCAATTGGGGAAATTTGATTATGGACTGATTATGGTATTGTAACAATGTTAAATTACCTGAGTGTGATAATTGTATTCTGATTATTTAAAATGATATCCTTGCATCCTTGGTCTTAGTTTTTAGGGTATCTAGGATATTTGGGGTGATATCTGATCATGTTTTCAATTCATTACCAAATGGTTCAGAAAAAAAAAAGAAGTGTGTGCACGCATGCATGAGAGAGTCACCAAATACTGTAAACTGTAAACAGTTGTGAATCTAGGTAAAGGGTATATAAGTGTTCATTGTACTATGTTCTCAACTTTTTCTGTAGGTTTGAAATTTTTCAAAACAAAAAGTTGGGGATAAAAATCAGAGTATACAGAAAGACAGAAGCAGTTAACTGAGGAAGAAGTCAGCTCACACCACATACAACTTCCATTAGATTCAGAGCCACCTCTGGGGCCCCACACTGGGCTGTGAGCTCTGAAGGATGCCCATGCCTTTTTCACCCTTGTTTCTCCAGTATCCTGCCATGGTGTCCAGAATATATGTGTTCAGTAAATGTATATAGATGAGCGCAGTCCTTCCAGGGTATGCTCCTAGGAAGGTTGGGAAGAGTCACCTCTGGGAAAAAACAAATCAGGATAGTGGTCCCAAGCATGGTGTTTTGAGGCCTTTGTCTTGCTGGAAGTACTAGACCATGGAACTGCATCAAGGGCGACACCAGGGCTTGTCTCCTGGCAGTACCCTTCTGGCTTCACCTGCCTTCTTAGGCAAGGAAGGGCAAAGCTTGAAGGGCTGTATTTGCTGCCCCCCATTCCTGTACCATTGGCTCTGGAGGGTCAATAAAACCCCAAGAATCTGGAGAACAGCTGGCCAGAGGAGCTGATCCACATCATCGTCCTCTCCAGTATGAGATCAGGGGCTCTGTTCCTACCCCCCACCCCCTGGTATCCTGCAAGGAGGAGAGAGGGAAACATCTGGATGCCTGCTCAAGGATCAAGAGTCGGGAATCCAACCTCAGACGGTCCCTCACAGACTTACCCACTGCTCTGCAGTCCAGCCCGTGGAGATGAGAGCTGAGAACTTGGGGGACCATGTGTCTGGTAGGCGTTGAGCCCTCCCGGCTGGAAAAACCACAGAATCTGTAAGAAAGAGAACACAAGCCAACAATGACACACTCTTGGCCTCAATTCCCACCAAAGCACAGAGCATTTCCTGTGCCTTTTCCGTTATTTCACAAGCTGCCTCTTTTCACTCACCCTCTGGGCTCCAAGGACAGAGGGCTTTTTCTCCTCCGAGGAGCCAGACAGCTAGCTCCAGGTTCTCCTGGTCAACACCATGGCCAAGACCCTTAGTGACCATCTGCTGTACTCCCTGGAGGAGCTGGTGCCCTACGACTTTGAGAAGTTCAAGTTCAAGCTGCAGAACACCAGCCTGGAAAAGGAGCACTCTCGGATCCCCCGGGGCCAAGTCCAGACAGCCAAGCCAGTGAAGCTGGCCACTCTGCTGGTCACCCACTACGGGGAGGAGTATGCTGTGCGGCTGACCCTGCAGGTCCTGAGGGCCATCAACCAGCACCTCCTAGCAGAGGAGCTCCACAGGGCAACTGGCCCAGGTAAGCAGGCCCTGCATCCCCTCCTCTCCCAGTGCAAACACTGGCTGTTCATGAGATGGGGTGGAAGGTGCAAGAGAGAACTCGTGTCTGGACCAGTGCGTCCTGACTTGGGGGTTAGGAGTCCCAGGTCTACCACGACCCCAGTGATTTTGGCCAAGCAAATCCCTTCCCCTGCTCTGGTCTTGGAGCTGGATTAGTAAAGCTAAAGCTCCCAATGGCTTAAAAAAAATAGCTGAGATTCTGACTGCAGGGCCAGATCAGGAGAGGCAGGAGCTAGATAGATGCCTGTTCATAGAGAATTCCTCTATTAAGTACATTAAGTACATTAACAGTTAATGTACAGACAAGCATCTTTGGGTGAGCAAAGAGGGCTTGCTAACCAATCATATTACAGGGTTGATAGGTAATCTTTTCATTTTTATCCCCCTAATTTCAGTTTTGAGTTCTTCTTTAACACATTTTACAAAGGCACTTTAAAATTCTCAAGAGGACTTTCTTTTCTTTCCCCTCCTTCCATCTTTTCTTTCTTTTCTTCCTTCTCCTTCTGCTACCCTTTTGCTGTAACTTTCTGATTTTATTACATTGTGATCAAAGAATGTGGCCTATTTGATTTCTGCTTTTAAAGAGTCTTTTTTTTTTTTTTGAGATGGGGGGGTCTAATATGTGACCAGTTTAAAAAAATGTTCTTCGGTGTTTGAATTTTTCTTCTATTTCTAGACTTTAAGAATACATTAGAAATGATTTCCATGTGTTTCGATGAGGTAGAACAGTTGAAATAACATAGGAATTCTCTGCTCTTTGAAAGAATGAGAGAACCAAACCATAATCTGCATCTGGTGTAATTTGCTGAGTAGAATTTTTAAATTACTTTTTCATATTTTAAAATCTGGTTATTAGCATCTTCAGGGTTTCTCACCAGTTCATGAGCCAGTTTTGGTAACTTACATTTTCCTAGAAAGCCAAAGGCAAAGTGTTTTAAACAACTTTAAATTAATTTTAATAAAAACTTCTTCAAACCAAAAATTAAGGTGCTAATTACAGGTTATCTTCATTTCTTTATTAGAGTAGTGGTTTTCAAATTATATACCAGGAAGAAATTTCAGGGATTCTTTAGAATGTTAGCAAATACTTGATTCAAATTTTTTTAATTTTTTAACTTACAAAACTAACACATTCACATTAAAATGTATCCCTAACCAAATTTTAAAATACTAGAGGCCACCAGTGTGATAGTGCATACTGTACTTGAACTCGTTTTTACATAGACCTTGGTATTAAGCTTTTCCAGTCATTTCTGTTTAATTAAACAGTATCCTGAAATTTCCAAGCAAGCTGTTTCTTTATTTTTTAATTTTTTTGTGTGTGTGAGGAAGATCAGCCCTGAGCTAACATCCATGCTAATCCTCCTCTTTTGGCTGAGGAAGACCGTCTCTGAGCTAACATCTATTGCCAATCCTCCTCCTTTTTTTGCCCCAAAGCCCCAGTAGATAGTTGTATGTCATAGCTGCATATCCTTCTAGTTGCTGTATGTGGGACGCGGCCTCAGCATGGCTGGAGAAGCGGTGCGTCGGTGCGCGCCAGGGATCCGAACCCGGGCCACCAGTATCAGAGCGCGCGCACTTAACCACTAAGCCATGGGGCCGGCCCCTCAGGCAAGCTGTTTTTTAAAAAATTACCATTTACACTTATTTATCTGTGTGAGTTAGGATTTTCTTCACTTCATGAAACCAAAGGAAAAAACAGAAATAAATTAGTTGCTGAAGTTTTAACTGTCCTTCATAATTCCTGATTTCAAATTTTTGTGCTGACCAAACACCTTAATTCTTCTTTATTGACTGATTTTTATAAGTGAGTTTTGTACATTTGTAATCACACACAAATTTATACCAATAAACTAGGGTTTTTATTTATTTCACGTATTAAGAATTCTGTGTAAGGGGCTGGCCCCGTGGCTTAGCGGTTGAGTGCGTGCGCTCCGCTACTGGCAGCCCTAGTTTGGATCCCGGGTGCCCACCGACGCACCGTTTGTCCGGCCATGCTGAGGCGGCGTCCCACATACAGCAACTAGAAGGATGTGCACCTATGACATACAACTCTCTACTGGGGCTTTGGGGAGAGAAACGGAAAAAAAGGAGGAGGATTGGCAATAGATGTTAGCTCAGGGCCGGTCTTCCTCAACAAAAAGAGGAGGGTTGGCATGGCTGTTAGCTCAGGGCTGATCTTCCTCACACACACACAAAAAAAATTCTGTGTAAGATCTTATATTGGAAACACGTTCTCCTGCCTAAAGAGTTTGAAAAGCACTATTTGAGAAATATATAGCAAATAACTAATATGTTCTTGTTCAATGGTAATTGACTGCTACTGTCTAGAATGTTCTGAACTTCTCTAATTTCTGAGGGGATTCTCTCCTCCCTCTCTTTCCCCAACCCTTGGCCCAGAGCACTGGACATTTTCATGCCTTTGAATCTCATTGTCTTTTCAGAATATCTGATACAAGAAAGTGGCACAGACAGTTCAGTAATGTCTTGTTCCTCTGGGGAGAATAAGCCCAAGAGCCTGAAGATATCAGATGCTCCGCAAGGTGACAGGCAGTGGCAAAGTGGTGACAGGGCAGCCAGCCTGCCATCCAGCCAATTGGAGGCTGGAAGGGGGCCCCAGAAGAAGCCTCAGGTCAAACAGAGAGATCAGAAGGGCTCCGAAGGCCTGGATGTGCAGAGCAAGCCAGGGGCCAGGAGCGTGACTCCTTCCAGGAGAAGCCCATTCCCTGGCAAGCTGCAGGAGGAGAAGGGAAGCAATCCGAGTGCCAAGCTACGCAGGAATGCCAGCTCTGCAGGAAGGCTCCAAGGACTCTCCAGTGGGTCATTTGCTGGGTCCCCGGGAAGGAGAGAATTCAAGACATCTGAAGTACGTTTACCTTCAGGAAAGAAGCGACCCAAAAGTCTTGAATTTAACATTTCTTCAAGAGAAGGAGAACCCCTCAATCCAGAAATTTTTCTGCTTCAAGAGAGAATAAGAAGTAAGAATCCAGACTCAGTAGCCACCCCCAGTGAAGTGGCCACTCTGGATATAGGGGCTACTATGGCTCCAGAGAAAGGCTCCAGGAATCCAGAACCTTCCGTGATCTTGGAGTGGGGAGCATTCAGGAATACACTTTCCAATGTGTCTTTGGCTGGAGAGGAGAAGACCTGGGAGCATCCAGAATCCACAGCACCTTCAGAGAAAAATGAGATTGAGAATCCAGAGACCCCTGAGACCTTGGAGGAGAGGGCAGGCGGTGTGCTCCGTAAACCTTCAAATCCAGAAGTCCCTCCATCTTCAAGTAAGATAGGATCCCAGAATCCAGAAGACCTGGCATCCTTAGGAATGGTGATCTGTGCAGGTATTCCCCCACAAACTTTCTTTTATCTCCATTGTACTTATGTCATTGGATCCCTGGGTGTCCCCTGATGTCCCCAACTCTTTGAGAATCTGATGTAGGCTGTGAATCCTGAAAAAATGCATATATGCATATCTTCACAAAATGTTGCATCAGATTTCAGTTAGTTAGCTCTTAGACACTCTGAAGTCCTTCTTTAGAATTCCAAGGGTTTAACGGACCCCAGGTTGACCATCTGGGAAAGACTGGGTAAAAATATCTCCTTCTCACAATAACCCCATGGCAGTATGTCAGGGGTCCAAGATTCTGCCATTCACTTCTCTCTGGGCAGGGAGGAGAGCTGTTGACTAAAATCCTAGGTCTCTTTTACTAAGGAGGCAGAAATTACGATTATGTTGGGTTGTGAATGACAGAAATACCAAAATAATGATAACTGAAACAAGATAGAAGTTTGTTCCTTTTTCACATAAAAGACACACAGGTGGTCCAGGACAGATGTGGTACTCCATGGGCCAGGAACACAGGCTCCTGCTGTTTTTCTGCCCCACCAAGTTTGCTCTCAAGCTCATGGTCTCAGGTGGTGGCATCCTCATTCCAGGCAGAAGGATAGAGGGACAAAGGAGAATAGTATCACTTAGAGAATAAGCAATTCCCTTATTTCCAGAAGTTTCTAGAAGTTTCCAGAAGCTCCTTGTGTCACCTCCATTTACATACCTTTGGCCAGAATGTAGTCAAATAGCCACACCTAACTGCAAGGAAGGCTGAGAAATGTAGGGGCTTTCTTGGGTGGAAAAGGAGTCAGGAGAAAGTAGCCATATATGACAGCAATCAATTCTATCACAAGGAAGGAGAGGAGAATGGTTATGGGGGGCCTCTCACAGTCTCACTTCCAGACGTGATATGAATTCCTGGGACCCTGTGAGAGGAGGAGGTGGGAAAGGACTAACAGATCAAATGTGTTTCTCTTTCTTCTTGTATTTCTTGTCATTTCTGCTTTATGAAGTTGTGCTATGGTCTTGGGGCAGAGCTAGTCATAGCTGTATGTTATTATGGTGGGTTATACCCTTCAGCCTTATAAAGTCTCCTTCTTTACTTTTATTTAATGCTTCCTGGAACTGGATGTGAGCAGTGGTACATCTGCTCCTTCATTCTTTTTTTTTTTTTTTTTTTTTCCGGTTAGGAAGATCAGCCCTGAGCTAATATCTGTGGCTAATCCTCCTCTTTTTGCTGAGGAAGATTGGCCCAGAGCTAACACCCGTTCCCATCTTCCTCCACTTTATATGTGGGACGCCCGCCACAGCATGGCTTGAGAAGTGGTGCCTAGGTGCGTGCCCGGGATCTGAACCTGTGAACCCGGGGCCGCCAAAGCAGAGTGCGTGAACTTAACCACTATGCCACCGGGCTGGCCCCTGCTCCTTCATTCAACACACACTGCCCAAATGATTACCATATGTTGGGACTCTGCTAGGGGCTGGGAATCTGGCTATGAGGGAGCCACTGTCCCCCAGGAGCGCCCCCTCAGGTCATGAGCAGCCTCCATAGTTTTAAGTGGTAAAGCAAACACTGGTCAGAATACCTTGCTGTCTTTATATCAACCGCTAAATTTGTGTATTTGTGGGAGAAAGGCATAGAATTTATAGAAAAAGGCCTTTCTTTAGGATAAATGCCCAAGAATTCCAAGTCTCAGGAATGTCATGAGATCTAGCCCTTAGCCCTCAGTCACAGTGGCTTGTTTGCTGCCTCACTGGAGCGAAGTCGGGGAGGACAAGCTAGGAAGTGGCCACAGTCTAACCAAGAACTCACTTGTCCCAGGTATGGGCTCTCTCTCTGCTGTGCTTTGTAGCACCCCTTTGTAACATCTTCGGTTTGTCACTAAGGAAATTTTTCCACTGCCATGTCCCCAGGGAGGCCGCAGGACAAGGCTGTGTGTCCCCTTTGCCGTGCCCAGGAAGGAGACCCGGATGGTGGCACCTGTGTGCAAGATTCCTGCAGCTGCTCCGTTGCTTCTAGGAATCCCAAGGCCTTAGGTGGCCACTCACCCAGCTGCCCCTGGTGCCAGGCTTCACTCCCAGGGAAGAGTTCTGGAGGCCAAGAGCAGCAGGAGGGCCCACAGATGGCCAGCCTGAGCCCCAAGGCCCTGCCGCAGTGTGAGCGTCACATGAAGCAGGTCCAGCTGCTCTTCTGTGAGGACCACGGGGAGCCTATCTGCCTCATCTGCAGGCTGAGTCAGGAGCACCGAGGCCACCGGGTGCGCCCTATCGAGGAGGCCGCCCTGGAATACAAGGTAGGGCTTCCTGCCCAGGGCCCTTCTCTGCTGGGCACTTGGACATGCTTGGGCTTGCTTCATTTTCCCAACAACTCTGGGAGGTTGGTGCATTACCCAGCATTCTTGGGCTGTAAATGGCAATAACTCAATACAAACCAGGCCAGTAAAGAGGAAATTTACCAGTTCATGTAGCTCAGAGGTCCAGGGGAAACTAGCTTCAGGTATGGCTGAATCGAGGTGCTCACAGGAGGTCATTAGGAATCTCTCTCACAACCTCTTGGCTCTGCTTCACTTGGTGTGATGGATTAATTCTTCTTCTTTCCTGGACACCCCTCCCATGATGTTGGCTGCAGCATCCTCAGCTTTACTCTCCAAAGCAAATTTTCCCCTCTACAGTTGGCACCAACTAAAGATGGCAGGAGCCAAGTTCAATCCTCAACAAATGCTCTTTTTCCAGGAGCAAATTCAGAAGCAGCTGGACCATCTGAAGGAGTTGAGAAAATCTGGGGAGGAGCAGAGATCTCAGGGGGAAAAGAAGACAGCAAACTTCCTGGTAAGGCCAGGGGTGTTCTGTGGCCAGTCCTTGCCTGGGTTCACCCCTGCAGAAGGAGGAAGGGGACCGAGAGTGAGCAGGGGTCCCCTAGATTCTGTTCTGCTTCATAGGGAAGCAGAACTGATCACATATTTAGAATCATCTGCTCTTGGCTGGCAGGGAAGTAACAGGCATCCAAGGATGAGCTCGTTCCTGGAGAGGGGAGACCACCACCAGCAGGGAGGGGCACCTCTGAGGACCCTGTCATGCTTTCTTATATGCACAAGAAAATGGTTTAGAGAAACTAACACCAGTGGCTGTCACTGAGGGATGGGATTGAGGAAAGGGGAGGAGAGACTTTTCAGCTTTAACTACTCCTCTGTATTGTTTTTATAATTGTTGTCCATTTTGTTTTTTTACAAAAACCATATTGACTTTTAAAATTCAAATGATTAAAGTACACATTTTCTTTAAAACCGTGGTTTTGTGATGCCACAGATTTCAATAAGTACAACTTATTGGCCTTCCTCTGTTGAGCTGGTGTCCAGCTTTGTGGACACGTAAGTTGCTTCCATGCTCCTTGCAAGCGAAGGTGCCTACCCCACAGAGCCTTCATTTGTCTGATGCATTTTGGGTGGTTGGATCCCATCTCCCTCTCTGGGTTCCAGACTTCTGTTGGGACCCACCACACTGCAATGAGCAATGGGCAAAGATAACAAAGGGCAGAATGCGGGGAGGGCATTGGCCCAGGTGTCTGACTTTTGGGAAACTCCTGAATTGTAGTAAAATGAAAACCCTATAATCTCAGGTGGCTTGGAACTTGTGGATGGAGCAGGGGTCGAGGATGCCCCCTGAGGAGGGTGAGGCAGGAGCCTGGGCCACTCAGGCAAACCCAGAGAGACAGGAGGGTCCAGTCTTCCCTTAAGACACTCATGGCCCTTGTGGGAAGGAGATGCTGTTTTCAGGACTTCTCTTCTTCCTCCTCCTCCTCCTTTCAAGAGTCAAAAAAATTTTTTAATCATATGGAAGGGGGAAGGAAAGCTCTTCTTTACAGCAGAATGACAGCTGAAACAAGTATAGAAGAAGAATTGAATTCGAAAGTTTCCATTATACAAACACCAGTATAACACTTGACACCAACAGGGATCATCAATAGATGCTAAATTTTTAGAGAAGGATGGTTAGAGAACAGGATATTTACACACTCTCAAAGTACCACTCCCTGAATTGCTTAATAATTATACAGGAAACAATGTATATTTACAGTGGAGAGATACGGTGGAAACTTCCTTAACCACGTGACCAATCCTAGTATAACAATAATGGTGATGGACAAACTGGACATTCTTTGCCTCCCCACAGGATGCGCCAGGAAGACCATGGCATTAAGTATATGGTATTCTTGCCCAAAATGTTTAGCCTGAATTTAATCATGAGCAAAACTATCAATTTTAGAATATAGGCCACTGAGCAAGACAACTGACCTTTCCTCTTAAAAAAAACCCTCAATGTTACTGCCATCAACAACAACAATGAAAAGTGAGGAGATATTTTTGGTTCAAAAGAACTAAAGAGTTAGTCCTGTCCTGTTGAGCCCAAAATGACGAGACTTCTTAAGTCCGGTCTTAGTGGATCTGAAGGGCACTCTCCTTCCTTGGAGGAAGGAAAAGGTACCCTAGAGCCACTTCACCTCTCCGCAGAAGCTTTCTAGTGATGATAAGAAAGAGAGTGATAGACGAGCTAACAGTTGACCAGTGTGCAACAGTAGTGGAAATCAAGTTCACCTACAATCAAATAATTGGCCTGACCGCCCCCATTCAGAGCCATATTGAGAACCTTCTGCATGCCAGCACGTTGTGGGGGAGTGGAGGGAAGTCTCCCTCCTGGAGACTTTAGCGGTCATAACCTTGTCCATCTATGACCTCAGGGATATGCCACCCTCACACTGGATTTCAAGGAAGAAAGAAGGTGACACCAGCTATCTTAGTGTCCTGGGGCTGCTGTAACAAAGTACCCCAGACTGGGTGGCTTAAGCCATGGAAATTTATTCTCTCACAGTTCTGGAGGCTACAAGTCTGAAATCAAGGTGTTGGCAGGGTTGGTTACTTCTGAGGGCCATGAGGGAAGGACATGTTCCAGGCCTCTCTCTTCAGCTTATAGATGTCTGTGTCTTCCCCGTGTCTCTTCATAAGGTGTTCTCCCTGTGTGTGTATCTTTGTCCAAACTTCCACACTCCAGTGGGCCACCCAACTCCATATGACCTCATTTTAACTAATTACGTCTGCAACAACCCTATTTCCAAATAAGATCATATTCTCAGGTACTGGGGGTTAGGACTTTAACATATAAATTTTGGAGAGGACACAATTCAACCATAACACCAGGTTTTAGGGCATTTTCCAAGAGCCAGCCCCTGCCACCCTCAGTCTGTTCTGAAGCTTCCGGCCCCTTTTGCCTCCTGCTCTGAAGTCCAGGCCTCTAAGAGGCTGAGGAAGCCTGCCTCTTATCCACCTCCAGGAGGTGGGCTTCTGGGGACTCCCTGGGCATACACATCCACCTCAGTGCAAAGATCCCTATACCTTCCTGTCCCCCGTTCCCCAGAAAAAAACCGAAATCCAGAAGCAGAGAATCCAGTGCCAGTTGGAGCAGTTGTGCCAGTTTCTGGAGCAGCAAGAACAGCTCTTTGTGGGCTGGCTGGAGGAGCTGGGCCAGACCATTGGCCAGGTCAGGGAGAGATATGGCACCCAGGTATCCAAGGACATCGCCCTCCTTGACCAGCTGATTAGGGAACTGGAGACCAAGCAATGCCAGCCAGAATGGGAGCTTATGCAGGTGAGTGTGGCTGGGCCTGGCATTCCCCTGCCCGCTGTGCCCAGTAGGATGACATGGGCTCCCAGCACTGCCATAAGTTCTGCCCAAGCCAGTGGGTGGGGCCCTTGGGGCTAGGGGTGGGACTTGGTCTTGGTGACCCACAGTGCCTCTTGTGCCCAGACCCCTTTGATGAGCTCTCAGGAGCCCAGGGTGGCCCAGCATCCAGGGGATCCCCTGGCATCTCCCAGAAGAGATCAGCAGGACTTGGGTGCAGTTCCAGTGCTGGTCCCAGCTGGGCTGCCACCATGGGTGATTAGAATTAGAATTGGGGAGAGATGCCCCAGTTTTGCTGACACCCCAGGGCTGGGAGTCCAGGAGAAGAGGCCAGGATCCAGCACAGCTCCTATGAGACTGGTAACGGAGAGCTTCTTTCTTTTCTCTCCTAGGACATCGGAGTCACCCTGCACAGGTACCAAGAGGTCCCCTGGTATTTGCTTGAGTGTCCTGCAGGAAGCATTTGGGGAGGGAATCTTAGGAGGCAGATGCTCCCAACGCAGTTCTGCGACTCCTCCCTGGACTCCTCCCATCTCCTGCAGCCTCCTAAGGCCTTTCTGGATTTGTGTAGGGAGACTGGAGTGTGATCAGGAGGGAGAGAATGGCATTGAAGACTGCAAAGAATGAGCACAGCCTGTGTGCCGGTGGTCGCTTCCTAAGAAACCTCACTAAGAGATTGTGTCCTATGCAATTCGCCTCATGAAAACTGTTTCTGCAGAAGTGCTTGTGGCCTCAGGGAGGGAAACACTTTCTAAGAGTGGAGCTGCTAAGCCCAGCAGGCAGGGGAGAAGAAGTTAGGGAGGAGGCTGGAGTGTTACAATCACCCTGGGAGCTTTACAAAATCCTGACATCCAGGCCTTGGCAGACGAATTAAATCCGAATCTTCAGGAGTGTGACCTAGGCATCAATGTTTTTTTAAGTCTGTTTTTTTTTTTTTTTTGGTGGTAAAATATACATAACACAAAATTTCCCATTTTAACCATTTTTAAATGTATGATTCAGTGGCATTAACTACATTCACATTATTGTGCAGCCATCACCACCATCCATCTCTACAACATTTTCATCTTCCCAAATGGAAACTCCATGCCATTAAACAATTCCCCATCCCTTGCTCCCCTAGCCCCTTGCAACCACCATTCTACTTCCTGTCTTTATGAATCTGACTACTCTAAGTATCTCATATAACTGGAGTCATCCAATATTTGTGCCTTCATGTCTGGCTTATTTCACTTAGCATAATGTCTTCAAGGTTCATCCATATTGTAGAATGTGTCAGAATTTCCTTCCTTTTTTAAGGCTGAATAATATTCCATCATATGTATATACCACATGTTGTTTATCCATTCATCCATCAATGGACATGTGGGTTGCTTCCACCTTTTGGCTATGGTGAATAATGCTGCTATGAATATTGTTTTACGTATATCTGTTTGAGTCTCTGCTTTCAGCTCTTTTGGGTATATACCCAGAAGTGGAATCGCTATATTATACAGTAATTCTATGTTTAGTTTTTTGAGAAATCACCATACTATTTCCCACAGTGTCTGTACCATTTTACATTCCCACCAGCAATGGACAATGGTTCCAATTTCCCCACATCCTTGCTAACACCTGTTACTTTTGATTTTTTAAAAATAATAGCCATCATAATGAGTGTGAAGTGGTATCTCATTGTTTTTTTCCTCATTTAATATCATTTTTATTTCAATAGAAAAAGACTAGGTTAGTATAATTAATCTGCCATAGATAATTCTTGGCTGAGCATTTCATTATCAGCACCATTTTAAAGTCATTATTAAAACTCCTTGTAGTTTTTATATCAGTGTTTTTTTAAACTCCCCAGGTGATGCCAATTTATGGCCAAAGTTGACGGCCAATGTTTAGAACTCGAAGTCTGGGGAGGACTTTCTTTGCGAAGCCCAGGCTGGGTTGGACGTGCCCTGTGGAGGCTGCAACTCACTTCCAGCTCATGGGAGCTTGGGCCACCCCAATGTGCCAGCCCTCTCCGGCCAACAGTCTTTTGTCTCTAGGGCCAAGATGGTGACTGTCCCTGAGCCATGGGCCACCCCTCCAGAGGTGAGAGAAAAGATCGACCTGCTCTACCAGAAATCAGAGTTTGTGGAGAAGAGCATGAAGAACTTCTCGGGTAGGTGGGCTTAGGGGAAGATGGGAGGCGCCTGCTTGCTTCCTCCCTGAGATCCATGTAGCCCACAGGCCCCTGGTGTCCCTTCTCCATCTCCCATGGCCTTTCTGACTCTGCCTTCAGCCTCTCCCTGATCTGTCTCTAGCTGGGAGACCTAACTCAAACTCCCTTTCTCCTTTCAGAAACCTTGCGCTCAGAAATGGAAAACTTCAATTGTGAGTATGGTGGTGGTAGTATGTGCTGGCTAGGGGTTATTGTGATATTCCCTTATGCTGTTGATTTCTGGGCATTATTTAGAAGAGAGAAAAACACCTGTAACAAAGGCAGGAGAAAGGTCATGACAGGCCCTCACGAGCTCTCTTCTGGACTCATTGGCTGGGTCAAATCATCAGACTTCAGTCTCCAAGCCAGGCCTGGGAGCCTGGGAGGAATGAGGTTATATCCAAGCAGAGGGAGTAGGGTCCTGAGCATGAGGGTCCTTGTCTTTCCTTGTTGTGGGGACCAGAGTAGATTTTGCCCCTCTAAATGGGAATGCTCAGGACTTTTTCCCCCATCTCCTTTTTCTCTGTAGTTCCGGAAGTGATTGGTGTTCAGGCACCCTGAGGCGAGTGGCCTTGGGCTGCTGTGTCCCTGTGCTGTCCCCCAGTGTGTTCCAGAAGAATGGCCCTGTCCATGTTTCCTGGAGGCGGGGAGAACCCTGTGGGGACGTTGCCCATGGACCCCCAGCTAGGTATTCTAATTCTCTCTGCAGTTAATGTGATTCTGGATGTAGAAACTGCCCGCCCCAACTTCATCTTTCATCTTCTCTGATGACCTGAAGAGTGTGAGACTTGGAAATAAGTAGGACCATCTGCCTGACTATCTGGAAAGATTCTGTAGGTACATCATCGCCCTAGGCTCTCCGAGCTTCCTCTCCAGCTGCCATTACTGGGAAGTGGAGGTGGGAGACAAGACAGGGTGGGTCCTGGACATCTGCAAGGCATCCACGAACAAGAAGGGAGCATGACTCTGTCACCGGAGAATGCCTACTGGTGGTGGTGATGATGAAGCAAAATGAGTACCAGGCATCCACTTTTCTCCCAACCTGCCTGTGGATGAGGGAACCCCCCAGGCATGTGGGCATCTTCCTGGACTACAAGGCTGGAGACATTTCATTTTACAATGTGACAGCCAAATCCCACATCTACACATTCACCAGCTTCTCTTCCTCCGGGCCCCTTCAACCTATCGTCAGCCCCAGGACACATGATGGAGGGAAGAACATGCATCCTCTGACCATCTGTCCAGTGGGTCCAATACTTTGCATCTCTCTTCCAGCTCCCAGCCGTGTATCTTGAATTCATACACTCAACAGTCATTATTGAACACTTACTGGGTTCCAGCTGCTGTGGGGAATATAATGAAGAAGAGAATAGTCCCTGTGCCCAAGGAGCTTATGGAATAGTTGCAGAAGTAAGCTAGGTACACAAATATTGTTAAACTAAAGGTGAAGAGAACACATACTGATAACATGCCATGGATTTCAGAGGAGGAAGTACGTGGCTGTTGCTTAATAAATCCTTGTATGAATTAGCACCCTAAGATGCTGCTGAGGCAGAGATCCACCCTCATTTTCCCTCAGGACCCCGTGGCAAGGATGTGTCCCCTCACTCTATCCCCCTCTGTCTCGAGGACTTGGAAAGCCTAGAGAAAAAACAAGCAGACTGGATTGTTACAAAATATTTTTGTACCTAGATTAATGAACTATGGTTCTCAAGAGTATTGGCTGGGGGCCTGCCGCATGGCGTAGGGGTTAAGTGTGCGTGCTCCGCTGCTGGCGGCTCAGGTTTGGATCCCGGGCGCGCACCAAGGCACCGCTTGTCAGGCCATGCTGTGGCGGCGTCCCATATAAAGTGGAGGAAGATTGGCACAGATGTTAGCCCAAGGCCAGTGTTCTTCAGCAAAAAGAGGAGGATTGGCATGGATGTTAGCTCAGGGCTGATCTCACACACACAAAAAAAGAGTATTGGCTGGGCCTCATAAGTTAATCAATTAGAAAATTTGGTCATAATTGCATTTTTTGTCACTTAGTCAATCACTGTGAGATCCCATTTCCCTAATGAACACCCTGAAAGAGATGAGGCTGCTGAAGTAGAAAAACATTTGACACATATTCCAAGTGTCAGATTATTCTGTCCTGATCTGTATCTGAAAACCTGTGGGCCTGTGGAATATTAGGTGTTCTGGTTCACAGATACTCCCTCTGTCATCCTCCATTTAGAGAGATGTAAAGAGAAAGAATGTAAGAAAAAAAAAAGAATCAAATGAAGATTAAACTCCAAACTCCTCCTACTCCAACTCCTCTCTCCATCTTCACGCTGGAACCTAGAGTGGACTCAGGTTCTCCATGGTTGTTACCAGAACATGAAACACATGCTTTGCTTTCTTCATGGAGTTTTGTCCTATATGCATAATCCACATGCTGACACAGTTCATATACCCAATTTACTTAGCTGTTCCCTATAGTTGGTCATTTGTTACTCCCAATTCTCTACCTTTCCATGAATAGCTTCGCGTATATTTTCCACCACCTCCCCAAAGACATATTTTTCTCCTATTATTCCTAAAATGGTTCCAAAATGTGAACTATTTGATAACACTTGCTACAGTTGGTCATACAGTCCTTCAGAAAGATTAAAAAATGTTTCATGCCCAAAGCAATGTTTGTCATTTAAAAACTTTTGCTGACTTAATACAGATGTAATGGGGTCTTACCTGTGTTTTAATTTATTTCACAGTAATTTATTTAACTTACCTGTTAGTGAGGCTGTGAATTTTTCCCTGTGAATTTCTACTTTTTGGTTAATTCTATAGAAATAGTACAGCTCCTTTAACTATTTGTTATATGGAATCCAGATATTTAACTTAGCTGTTTGTAATACTTCTTCATAAATATTTTGGATACTAAATGTTTGTATCTGTAATATGAAATTTTTCTTGTCTGGTGGTTTGTTTTTAATTGAGATATAATTCACATACCATAAAATTCATCCTTTTAAAGTGTACAATTAAGTGGATTTTAGTATATTCACAGTGTGTACAAACATCACCACTAATTCCAGAACATTTTCATCACCCCAAAAACAAGCCCTGCACCCATTACCAGTCACTTGCCTTTCTCCCCTCCCCCAGCCCCTGGCAACCATTAACCTACTTTTTGTCTCTATGGATTTGCCTATTCTGGACATTTCACGTTAAGTAGAATCATATAACATGGTGGTCTTTCGTGACTGGCTTCTTTCACTTAGCTTAATGTTTTTAAGGTCCATCCATGTTGCAGCATGTATCAGTACTTCATTCCTTTTTTATTGTTGAATAATAATCCATTATATGGACTACATCTTGTTTATTTGTTCATCAGTTGATAGACATCTGGGTTGTTTCTACTTTTTAGCCATTATGAATAATGCTGCTATTCATATTCAAGTTTTCCTGTGGACATATGTTTTCATTTCTCTTGGGTTTATATCTAGGAATGGAATCCCTGGATCACATGGTTATTCCATCTTAACATTTTGAGAGACTGCCAAACTGTTTCCAAAGTGGCTAAGCATCTTTTCAAATGTTAATGACCAGTTTTCCTCCTCTGTGGAATGACTTCATAGCCTTTGCCTTTGTCTTTTGTCATTTGGCAGGAGCTCTTTGTATGCTGGGAATGTCTAATTCTTTACCTGGCTTATCTTTTACACAAGTTATTTTCCAGTCTACTACTTGTTTGACTTTATTAATATTGTTCTTAAAAGTTTTTGAAAAAATATAGTCACTCAGGTTTATATTTTATTCCGAGGCATCTCAGTTTTCTATTTTGCCTCAACATCAAACTTAATGTCCTCTTTAGTGTTCTTTTATTGGTTATGAAATTCCATTTTGTGCCTGTTGTATAAAAGCAGGAGTCTTTTTTTCCCAGAAGAATAGACAATTTTTGCTAGAACTATTTAACACTAAGTTGAAATGCTACCCTTTCACATAGGTCCACATATATTCAGATCCATTTTGGTACTTACTGTTCTTTTCTATTGTTCTACTTATTTACTCCAAGTTCAAACCATACTGCTTTGATTAGAGGAGTTTTGTTTTTCAGTAATTATAATGTCTGGAAAGGCAGGTATTCTTTACCATTAAAAAAATTTTTGGTGCCACACAGTTTTGACATTAGTCTCTCTATAACATTTTAAGCCACGGCTAAGTGAGTCACCTACAGTGAGCGTTAAGAAAAGGCATTCATTTGTATTTTTACTTTTGTCGCTCTGCTGGAGACTGGTGTTACACAGAGGAATAATGCAATCCCCGCCCTTGGGTGATCCCAACCCTGATCAGTGCCTCACTGGAGAATGAACCGAGCACGGGAACAATGCAGAGAGAAAAGACGCTGTTAGGGGTCCGTGAAAGGCTGAAATGGAGGACCGAAACGGAGATGGTCCGAGAAGGACGCCTAGGGTTTCTTAGAAAATAAGATGGCCGGTGCACACCGCAGTGTAGAAGCTAGCAAGCAGGGAAGAGGAGGGTCGCCGGCTCTAACCTATGGGCCGCCCCTGTCGGAAGGGACGGCTGTAAAACGACCCACGACCGGGCAGAACTCTAAACCCACTACCCATTCGCCGCCTCGGCAGTCCTGTAACCCACCCGCGGTGCTGCGGCGGAAGCTGAGAGGCCCTCCTCAAACCTTCCGGGCCGAGGGACAATCCGCTTCCGGTCGAGCCTCAGCCCTGCCCCGCCTCAACCGCCGCGCCTAGCGGTCTCCCATTGGCTGTTTGGAGCCGAACTACATTTCCCAGCAGGCCTTGAAGTTAGACAGCCCGTACCTGGAGCGGTGCCAGCCCGTCATGGAGGAGTGGAGCCAGCCTTCTGCTTTCCATCTCCCAGGTAGAGCCACAAAGAGAGCGGCTGTCGCCACCCTGGCCTACCGCCGGCCCTGAGAGCTCCGCCAGCCGGCCTCGAGCCTCGCCTTCTCAAGCGCAGACTGCCCGCTCCGAGCGGGGAGACCAGGCTTTCGCACCGGAAACGAGGCACCGGGCGTGACGTCACGGCTGCCGAGGCGTTCGGCGTCCCAGAAGGCATCGCGCCCCCGCCGTCGTCCCCAACTGACGGCGGCGCACGCCAATAGTCGCCCGCGGCTTATGAGGACGCTCCGAAGGGCGAGGGGAGGGCTCGGCCTCTCGCGCCTAGTTTCCCGGTCTCTCCCTCAGCTGGGTCTTTGGGCCATCCTCAGCGAGCGCCCAGGGGCGGCAGAGCCCCCGAGAGGTGAGGGGCTCCGCGAGGGCGGGAACCTGTCTGAGGCGACCTCTGGGGAGCGGAGCGTGGTGCGTTGCTGCGGGAGCCTGGCCAGATAGGAATCCGGGGGTGGGCCCCCGACAGTGCCGCCGGCTGGGCTTCGCGGTAGAGGTGCCCCTTGGCCCGTGGGAGGGTTTCCAGAGTGGGCTTGGCCCGGTGGGCCCTACTGGGATGTTCCCTGCCCCTCTCAACGGCGCTTTGACGGCAGAAAGGAAGTCCGTAGGCCTCATGTGGTCTCCTCAAGCAGCCTTGCGTTTGCTCCTTGAGGAGTCAGCTGCCCCCGAAGGGCATCCGAGGGACCTGCGGTCCAAGGAGCGCAGTACGGCCAGGTTCAGTGGCCAAGCTAACTTCTAAGCAGATGCCCTCGGTATTGGACTCCAGATTTCCTCTCTTCTAGCCCCGTTGCTCTTTCCACCCGCATGAGTTAAACCACTCTTCCCAGTAGAGTTTGCACTTCGTATTTCTGGGAGGATGGCCCTTTGTCTTATGCCGGCTGCCTGTGCTGGCAGGCACAGGCAGCCGGCCCCTGAGGTTTGGACATCCTCTGGCTTTCATTCTCAGGATCTTCCTTTTAGGCCGTGCTAAGAGCATCAGGGACCTTCTTTTTCAGTTATGAGTTCCCTGCCTCAGCTTATCTTTCCATTCTGATTTAGATCTCATGTGGCCTCACTACCCAAGCCACATATTGGAGTGCAGGTGTGCCCTGCCTGATCTTGTGGGTAACCCATGGTTCCTGTCATCTGCAGCTTGGCTGTCTTCAGCTCTTGACAGATTTCTCGAAGCTCTGCAGAAACAAGTGTGGTGTGTGATTTCAAGGTGTGATGGCTGCAAAAGTGGTTCCTATGCCCCCAAAGCCAAAGCGGTCATTTATACTGAGAGTTCCTCCAGACTCCAAGCTGGGCCAAGACCTACTTCGAGATGCTACTAGTGGGCCCAAGACCATCCACCAGCTGGTTCTGGAGCACTTCCTTACCTTCTTGCCCAAGCCAAGCCTGGTCCAGCCCAGTCAGAAAGTCAGTGAGACCTTGGTTATTATGAAGGATGTGAGCTCAGACCTTCAGAACAGAGGTAAGAAGCCCATGCTGTTTCACTAGAAGAGAAGGGGATCGTACTAGGGGCTGAGATAGGCTTCTGTGTTAGTAATGAATTTGGGTAGTAGATATTGGAAAAAGGAGTTGATTCTAAGTCAACGTGTTGGGGAGAGGGAGTATTTTTTCCTCAAGCTGGAGCTTGAGTGGTTTGCTGGGTGTGTGTAAAGCCACAGAATAAACTGTGCTTTTCTGTAGTGTCAATTTTACACAAACATTTGGGGGGCAGGGGGAATATCTTTTTAAGATAAAGAAATGTGAGTAAATTATTGAATTGACTTCAGTTTATGTTGAATTTTGGAAATTTTGTGTTTGCTGTGGGCATCTTCAGACTATCTTCTCCTAACTTTTCCTTTAGTAGTAACGGGAGTAGAAAAAGGTGCTTAGGGAAATCATTCTTTTCGTAATCAGGAGACCCCATATAGGTTCAAGATCCTGTGGTTTATGGCTTGACTTCTGACTGTGCTCACAGGAGCAGAAAAAGCCATCAGTTACCTGCGGACAGCCTGGCCTGAAGGTGTGGATCGAGTCTCCGTATTAGAGTCACTGACTTTTCCATTAACTACAGCTTCCTCTTTCTCCAGTGCAACCTCATCCCTTAGTGAAGCTTCTGCCCAGAGAAGGAATCCCACAGAAACAGGAGACAGTGTCTGTGTGTTTGAAAGCTAAGCCTGAGGTGGGTTGTTTTCCAGTTCACTGTTTGAGTGCATTACTTTCTCTGCTTTCGCAGCCCTCCCCACTCAGCCAACCCATGTATAAAAACACACTTTTGGGAGTCAGCAAGGAGAGTGGGCTCGTTCTTCATTGCCTCCTTGGATGTTTGTCTTCTGCTTTTCCTCTAGCTCCTCTCTGAGCCTGGCTTTCTTGTCTGTGCTGCACTGCGTGGAACTTACAGACCCCTTTCGCCATCCCTACCTTGATCTTTGGGTCTAAGTCTTTCTTATCAGTAAGGCTGTCAAGCAACCTCTGTTACTAAGAGAAATGGGGGCTACTGCTCTTTCAGGAGCTGATGGTCTTTGAGGATTTGAATGTGTTTCACTCCCAAGAAGAATGTGTGAACCTGGATCCTGCTCAACAGCCCACATCAGAGAAGGAAGAAGACAGTGTTGGGGAGATGATATTACTGGGTAAGAAATCAAGTCCCTTGTGTGTTCAGATTGAATGCTATGTCCTTCTGCTTTGTTTCAGACTTTTTCAAGACATTATTCACACCACCTAAGCACATGTACACACATGTTTAATTTTTGTTTTATCCTCTGTGGCAGAGCCTGCTCCAGCTGGGGGTAGCCATTTTCCCTGTATCATGAGGGCAGCAAGGGTAGAGGGAACTTCTCTTGGTAAGCAAGACCTGTGGCTGATGTACTAATATCAAACATTCAAACAGAAAATGTGGGCAGACTGTTTCTGAATCCATTTTCTGGATTTGGTGCTATTCTCTCAATAGGTATATTTTAAATTAGTGCTTTCATTGGACACATGACTAATTCTTTTAAGTCTTTTTTTTTTCTTGATGTTCAGTAGCTGTGAAGCCTACAAGCATAAGTGAAAATATATTCCACTATTGATGGGAATAATATCTCATACTTATTAAGCACTTGCATGCCATCATGTGCTGGGCACTAGTCTAAGTACTTTGCATGCACTTATTATCTTATGTAATTCTCACAGTAGTACGGTGGGTAAGGAATTATTACTGTTTTATGGATGATGAAACTGAAGCAGAGAAAAGTTAATGAATTTGCTAAAGGTCACACGGCAGTAGGTAGTAGAGTAAGGATTTGGACTTAGGGGATCTAACATCAGAGCTTGCAGTCTTGGCCCAGAGCTATACTGCCTCCTTGCTGCATTTCTCATAATTTTGTCAGAGAATTTTCTATATGATTGGTGAATGGGGCCTTTTTCATGTGTACTCATTTCCCAGTAATGGTTAACAAGTGTCCTCAGTGCTACATATGAACTCATCTTGTAGCAGCTTCTCTCTAAGCTGCTTAGAGATGCTTCAGCTTTTCTCGAGAAATACACTGCTACCCTAGAGTCGGAAGCCCTCAAAAATCATTTTGCTGAGTGCCTAATACTTTTTACCTTGCCTTCAGTGCTGTTTGCCTCTGAGGCTGAAGTGGAACAGAGAGTAGGTTTTGTGAGTTGCCTGGGGTGACAAAATTTCGTAATGACTATTGAACTGTATAGTTGTCTTACACCATATGGTCAGGGTAGTGGTACATAATGGGCCTGGTTAATTTCCCACAGATTATTCTATGTAATATTTATTTTAGGGAAAAGTATAAGCAGATCAGATTTATTACACTGAGTCTTGGACAAAGCTAGCCCATTTATTTTGGGTGACTGGTTGTGGGTATGTTGCCAGTTCCAGGAACACTTTGGCCATGAACATTGAGGCCTTGAGATCCGATCCTAAGCCTTCCCTTGCCCATACCCTGAAGCTGATGATTTAAGCCTAGAGTCATTCACTAAAATTTAATAAATGCTACTTGTTTTTTCATCAGGTAGGGTTGGGGTCTAGAATTGATATTCAGTGGGGTAAAAAGATACATAATGCTCCATTCCTGCCCTCCAAGAGCTTCCAATGTGTTTTGTAAGATAAGTCATTCACATAAAGAGATAAGCAGTGTGAAACCATTATAGCTATAAAGAGCTATGACAAGGTTAAGGCAGGATTTGGACCCAGGAGCAGAGTTTGGAAGAAGATGGATTTGATTTTATATGAGATTGAATCCATGGCAGGAAATATGAGATTATCCTCTGAGAACTTGGCCCTTGGGGATTGGAGGTCACATGTAAGGACGTAGAGATTTGGGAGTCATAAGCATAGAGCTGATAGTTGAAATAGTAACAGTTAGTCAGTTTGCAAAGGGAAAAGTATAAGGGAATAAACTTTGTGGGGACAGAAATCAAAGGAGAGCTCTTGACAGAGGAGGACAGAATGTGTCTCAGTCCAAGTGAACCACATGAAAACAACTGAAAATGTAGAACACCTAAGCAAATCCTCAGTGAGACAGTTGTTATGGTTATCTCTGCCCTCTACTGTGGTAAGAGAATATACCTTTTCAAGATTGATGCAAATTGACCACATGCTATGCAACAAAGACATGTAGATTCCAAAAAGTAAAGATAATACAAAAGCATCTATCATAATACAGTACAACTATAAATTAATAATGAACTCAGAAAAAAAGTTCCTTCCACCTGGAAATTTTAAAACTATTAAGTAACCGTGGGTCAAGGGGGAAATACAAATTAAAATTGCATAATTTTTTTAGAAAACACTGTGTATCAGAATCTATGGTATAACCTAAAGTGGTACTTAGAGGAAAATTCATGGCTGTAAAAACATATCTATTAACTTAGAAAAATGAAAGTAATTAAGTCTCTGACTCAAAGTTAGGAAAACAACAAGATAAAGGAAAACAGAAAGAAAGTATTAATAAATACAAAATTAGAAGTCAATAAGTTAGAAATACAAAAAATAAAGGAACTGATAAATAGATTTAAACACAAATAGATAAATGAATTTCCCTATAGGAAATTGAAATTGTCCGAAAACTAGCCCCCACCCAAGAAAAGGGACCAGCCTCAGTGTCACAGAAAATTCTTGTAAATCTTTAAAAATTAGACAATTAAAATGCTATGAAAACTTCCAGAGTATATAAAAAGAAGGAAAACTTCCAAATTCTTTTTGTGAAATTAGTGTAACAAAGATACCATAACCTGATAAAAACTGCCAGGACCAAATAAGATTTAATCCAGGAATGCAAAAATGATTTAATAATAGAAAGTCTATTAATATAATCCATCTTATAATAAAAAGAAAAATCCTACAATCATTTTCATATTTACTGAAAGATATTTGACAAAATACAAACCCCTTCTTCATAAGAACACTTCACAAAATATTAATTAATGGATACTTCCTTAACTTATCCTTTCAGCCAGCATGATCTTTAATGGGAAACACTCAGAGGCATTCCCAGTAAAATTAGGAATACAACAATGAAGTCCAGTATTACCACTACTATTTAACATTGTGTTTCATGTATTAGCCCATGCAGTTAAATGGGAAAGAAATTAGATGTATAAGAACTTAAGAACTTAAGAGAAAAGTAAAATTATGACTATTTAGCATATGATATAATTTTGTAGCTGGAAAACCATAGAGAATGTCTGAAAACTTATTAGCAATAATAAGAGCATTCAGTAAGACAGTGGGATGTAAAATTATTACACAGAAATCACTGGCTTTCGTATATGCAAAACAATCATTTGGAAGATATAAAATAGGAATAAAAAAGGTTAAACACTTAGGGATAAACTTAAGAAATGTGCAAAAATTATGAGGAAAACTTTAAAACACTTCTAAAGGACACAGAAGTAGATTTGAATGAGTGGAAGGACATACCATGTTCTTGTCTAGGAAACTTTAACATAAATAGGTCAGTTTTCCCCAAGTTGATTTATGAATTCAATGTAATCCCTTTAACAATACCAATAAGATTTTTTTCCCTGGAACTAGACAATTGGATCTCATATTCAAATGGAAAAATAAATACGAATAACTAGGAAAATGGAAAAGAGCATTGGGGTGGGAGGGGTTGTAGCCTATCAGGTGTGAAAGCAGCCTCTAAAGCCATGTCAGGAAAACAGTGTGGTATTGGCATGTGATCAGACGGACCAATGGGATGGAATAAGAAGTCCAGAAATAGCCTCAAATACACATGGGGATTTAGTTGATGATAAAGTTAGAATTTCCAATCAGCAAAGGGACATTTTGATGAAAGGTGTTGGGACAACTCATTAGCCATTTGGTGAATCATACTTTACTTTGCACACCAAGTAAAACTCGAAATGGATCAAAGATTTTAAGTATTAAAAAAAAAAAACACAAAAGCACAATTAGAGAAAATGGGTGAATTCTTTTATAACCATGGGATAGGAAGGTTTTTCTAATTAAGACTCAAAAGTCCAGAAGTCTTGAAAGAAAAGATCGATGTATTAAATACATAAAAATAAAAAAATTCTGTATGGCGAAATAAAAAACAAATATATATGCAAATAAAATGCAATAAATGGGAGGAAATATTTGCAACTCATATCAGACAAAAGCCTAATCTCCCTAATTTATAAAGAGCGCCTAGAAATAGGGAAGAGAAAGATCAACAGAGTCACTGAGAAATACAAATTACCCTTAAACACATGAAAGGATGTCCAGTCCTACTTATAATTAGAAATGCAAATTAAACCGCTACTGAGTTACCTTTTTTATTTTTTGTGAGGAAGATCAGCCCTGAGCTAAATCCATGCTAATCCTGCTCTTTTTGCTGAGGAAGACCGGCTTTTAATCTATCAGATTTGTGGAAATCGGAAACTTAGCAACACAGTGCTGGTGAGGTAGTTAGGAGACAGTATACTGCTGGTGGGAATGCAGCATGGGACAGTCCCTATATCTGGGAATCTGTCATTACCCATATTATAGACGCATTTAGCCTTTGATCTAGCAGTCCCACCTCTGGGAATCTGACCTTCAGATAATAGCAACAGCACACATTCAAAATAATGTACAAACAAGGTTATTCATTGTGGTATTATTTGTAAAAACACAAGGATAAAAACAGTCTAAGTGTGTCTGCAGAGGATGGGTTGAATATGGTGTGTCCACATACCATACGCTGATAATCCCTGAGAACTGGAATATAGCGATTGAAATAAAACAAGTAGCAGAAATATACACAGTATAGTACCTTTTATATAAGAAAGGGGAGAAAAAGGAAATTTATTGCCTAAAGAAACAATGGAAGAATAAAGAAACTACTGGCATATCTTAGAGATATTGAGGGTTCGGTTCCAGACCACCACAATAAATCAAATATCGCAATAAAGTGAGTCACACGAATTTTTTGGTTTCCCAGTGCATATAAAAGTTATGTTTACACTGTACTGTAGTCTGTTAAGTGTACAATAGCATTATGTCTAAGAAAACAATGTACATACCTTAATTTAAAAATATTTTATTGCTAAAAAATGCTAAGCATCATCTGAGCCTTCAGTGAGTCATAATCTTTTTGCTGGTGGAGGGTCTTATAAAAAACAAAATCTACAAAGCACAATACAGTGAAGCACAATACAAAATCATACACCTATAATAAAAACTAGTACCTGTCTGGGGGATGAATAGAATGGATGGGGACAGGGATTGACGTAAGGCTTCTCGGTGTATAGTTTTTCATGTTTTAATTTTTGAGCCATATAAATATATTAGCTACTAAATTTTTTTTTTATTTTAAAAATTAGTACATTAAAGGAATGTAAAATATATTCATTGACACTTTCAGGAAAATAAGAAAAATCGTATGAATTTAAAATGAATTGTCCTCAGAACAGATATTTAGCCCTTTAATATAACCTAACATTTATAGTCATTCATAAAACACTGATGGTAATTCCTTAAAACTGAGAACAAAACAAGGAAACCTGCTATCACTATTAATATCATTAACTAGATTTTCTAAAGCAAGAAGGTAAGAAAAAAGGGTTAAGAAGGATATTTATTGGAAAAGGAGAGAATCAAAATATAATTTGGACTTAGAAAATCTAAAAAGATGAACTAAAACATTATATTTAATAATTTTAAAGTAGGTAGATGGGGAATAAATATATAACAACCAATAGCATTTTTAAATAAACACAAAATAATGAAAGCTCTCATTCAGAATGACTATAAAATAGGAGTAAACTAGAAATTTATTGGTAAATATAAAAGAAGATTCTTTTTTTTGTGTGAGGAAGATCAGCCCTGAGCTAACATCCATGCCAATCCTCCTCTTTTTGCTGAGGAAGAGTGGCACTGAACTAACATCTATTGCCAAGCCTCCTCTGTTTTTTTCGTTTGTTTGTTTTTTTGTTTGGTTTTTTTTTTGCTTTTTCTCCCCAAAGTCCCAGTAGATAGTTGTATGTCATAGTTGCACATCCTGCTAGTTGCTGTATGTGGGACACCGCCTCAGCATGGCCCAACAAGCGGTGTGTCGGTGCGCACCCCAGATCCGAACCCCGGCCACCAGTAGCAGAGCACACGCACTTAACCGCTAAGCCATGGGGCCGGCCCCAAAAGATTCTTAAATATTTGAGAGACACGGGTCTAAATGGGAAAACTAAAATTGTGTAAAGTTATTGGTGCCATCCAAATTTATTTATACTGTAAATACAGTCAGAGTCAAAAATTTTTAAAAACGTAGAAATGGATATTCTGGCTGGTTTTACCAATATTAGCCATGTTCAAACAATAACAAACAGTGTGATACTGAACTTCAAATGTATTAGATTTACTATAAAAATAAATCATAAAAGAATGGCCAGAAAACAGAATAGAAATTTATCAGATTTTGAAAGACTGATTTTTTTTTTTTGTCATTTCAAGTTGTGGAGTTATTACAGGGGAAGACTTCAATTAGAAAATATTTACATCATTAGTGATTGACAAAGAGAATAAGATTTGGAATATATAAAATTTCTTTAAATTTATAAAAGTCTCAGCTCAATAGTTAAAATTACTAGTTTGCAATAATCAAAGTGCAAAATAAAGCTACAATGAGAAACCATTTTATACCTACTAACTATTTTTTTTTAACTTTCTTTTTTTTTGTGTGTGAGGAAGATTGGCTCTGAGCTGACATCTGCCAATCCTCCTCTTTTTGCTGAGGAAGACTGGCCCTGGGCTAACATCCATGCCCATCTTCCTCCACTTTATATGGGATGCCACTACAGGATGGCCTGACAAGCGGTGCGTCCGTGCA